AATATACTGTTTCCACGAGAAAATTAGCAGGTATTGTTCAGAGAATATTAGGTTATATGATTACTGTTCAGCACAAATAAATCTTAATTTATCACATATAGGGCAATTTCCACTTTCACTGCTTGTATTAGAACATATTATGAAAGTCTACTGGCAAAATATCACGCTGATCGTATCAATAAAAAACAGCTACTTCATATCAAGCCGGCAAACGGAAAACCCCTGGGGAAGGCAGAGGTATCCTGTGGACATTGCCTCGAGACTCCGCCTCATGATCTTCTGCCCACGCTCAAGCACTAAAACAATATCAACAACATAAAATTAATGTCTAGCGTAACTGTGTCTGCAATCAAAAATAGTTTAAAAGACGTTAAACTGAATGACTTATTTCACAGAGAAAGAAACTATCATAATTAATGTATCAAAAGCTGATTATTGGAGAAATGATTAAAACAAAAAAATAAGCAAACAAAGAAATTTATCTGAAAAAAAAATGTACGGCTTATTATCAACAATAGCACGTTTATGATCACTGGCAATCATGTTAGCGGATGAAAAATGTTTCATGCGCTATGACATCGTAGAGTGTGGCCGCTCTGGTGATTCGACACCTAATGCGGGACGGATATTTTAACAAGCATTTTACAGCAACAAATGTAACTAAATTAATTGTCAAAAGATGCTGTTACATCTAAACTCACCGTGAATGATTCTTAATCGAATCAACAAACTGATGTTCCGAATGATGGACGAAATTCAGAAAAGATAAAGCTGCTTTAAAGTTAACATTATTCAAAAATAATATTTGTCTTTAACAGACAGCAATATCTAATTTTGAAAAAATATTACGGAAGTTAGTTCATATCAATTTACTTTCACCACTTAATTACATACCGAGATTAGTTAGTATTTAGGACGTGTACCATTGCTATAAAATCCGGAAAATGCTCTGCAATAATTTTGCATCTCAAGATGAGCCATATGTGAATAGAGTAAGTGTAGAGTAGTTTTCATTACTCTCTTTTGAATGATGAGGTTTTTTTTGGGACTGTCATGGCTTTTTTCCCTGATCCACATATGAAGGATTTTTATACTAGTACAAGATTGCAAATATGTGGTGATGACGTAAGTTCAAAATTTAAGATGTGAGTTCTAATTGGACTCTGGATGACATCATGGAGGAGAGTTGTCAATTCTATCTGGTGGTTTTGTTATCGATGATTTCCCTCCTATACCCTGCATTTTTAACGATCGCCTCAAAGGCGCCGATTGACATAGGTCTATTGTTCTTTTTTTAATTTAAATGGCGCTTTCCCTTGTTAATTGCCGTAATTTCCTTGTGTTGCTTGTTGTTTTTTATCGGCGGTTGATTGAAAGGAACACTATTCCGCAGTGAGTTTTACACGTTTATAACAGTTCCAATAGCTTACGATTAAAATATTCAAATAGTTGACAGAAGTGTATAAGCTCGTAGTTGACTCTTGACATTGTCGACGACATGGTACGGAATCAAAACAAGCTGGAGAAAATGGAAGTTGATGTGCTACTTGCTGCCTATATAATTTCGTCAGACACTCGTTCTGCTATGAACAGGCTCGATGAGACTGTACCCATATTGCACCTTAGACAGTTTGCTAACGCGTCGGTTCTACAGCTTCAAAATGAATTACCTCAAGAAAAGACAGTAAATCCGGAAATCTCATTCAACAAAACCATAATCTTTTGACTTTATCGCTCTTCCAGAAAGAGTTTTCGCGGCTGCAACGTTATCATGTGTATATACAAAATATCTGATGCGTCAGTCCAGTAGAGAATTATTCCTTCCATTCAGAAAAAATAGACTGTTTATTGTCAAATGCTGGCGAATGTTCTGGCCAACGTGTAAATGTGTCATGGTGGGCAAAATGTACATAGCCGCAGACTGTGGTGACCCTAGCTTTGAAATATTCATGAATTCTTCTACGGCGTTTGTACCATCGACTGGCCAAAGAAATCTAGACATTTTGTCTCGAGATTTCAATCGCCACCAGCTAATATTTCTTGAGACACTCGGTCAAGTCAACAATGTGCAGTTCCAAACTCTATATAATGCTGCGCTGTACAGGGACCGCATGTAGCTCATCGAGCTGATCCGCTTAGAATGTTGGATCACTTTGGTATCCGGATTCTGTAACTACCTGTTTCGACGGCTCTACATGAAGCCACACAAAATACACAGCGATTAGCATTTTGAAGCACATTTCACTGTTGAGATTCTCATCATATGAATATCGCCGTACCTAGGCATTTCTTTTATAGTTTTTGAATATCCTTATTTTCAACATTTAAGGGTAGTTAGGAAAAATTATACTCATCTGTGATGAGGATCATTACTGTCCTTAAAGACGCTTTCAATTCCTTTTGTTCAGTACAAATGATCCAAGCTACAGATTACCTCATCACATCCAGAATGATGAAATATCTATGCCGCCTATAGAAAATGTTGTACAAACGCAAACTCTGTCACTCCATCTCAGTGGAAATCAAATCAAAAATCAAACGGCTAAATGATCTTTATGTACACCCTGACTTCGCCGAAATGACATAGACGTGAAAATCTTATCGCGGAATACTAAGTCTGCGTGCAAAACAGTGGAAACAGGACATATTTAGAACAACACAATGGCAGATCTAAATTAATTGCACCGCTATTTGCTGCGTTTTGAAATTATCATGACAGTAGCATGTGAAACTCTGACTCCACCTTGAAGCTCACCAAGCATGCTAGCGCAGTCCACTACGAATCACGGCTGCATTTGTGTCACCTACAAATTTTCATCCACGTGATTTCCAGTCCCGATGGTCTGAGCCTCCAAGTGCTGAAACAAAATTCAGCGGAGCTGTACAAAATCCGGAACGAACTCTAGCTTCTGCTTTCGCTAAATGCGGATTTTCAATCACAGAAAAAATGTATCACTTCAGTCTCAAAATGGAGTTCAACGACAGCCAATATCAACATTTTCCAGTAAATTGCTATGTGGTTCATCCTCTTAAAAAACTTCTAGTGTCTAATTTTTACATTGATGCAAAAGAAGTCCCAAATCAGAGTCATCCCATGCAAGTTGTCTCAATGAAATGGAGTCGAAACCGATAACAGCATCGTCTGTATCACAAATATAGTCCGAAGATTTGGACACAGTAAAGCGCTGCTACTGAACATTTTTCCTTCTATCGTTAGCACTCAATACCGTCTCTCCTGAGCAATGTTCTGCACTTATTATTGACCATTCCATCGCACGGTGGCTTGCGGACAACTTCATAATTCGCAACCAGTTCGTCAAGGTCGGCTGACAGGAGTCAAATTTAATGCCAAACAACTCAAGTGTCGTATAGGGCTCTTTCTTTCACCATTGCTGTTCGATATTTTTGTTAATGCCTGCGTCACTAATTCCCTACTCAATTGCTCAAATGTGTTAAATATACTGATGACAGTCATTATGAGGACACTTGAAGATTGGGACACTTATATTAACGGCATGCCTGCCATATATCGTTACTTCATTTTCAATTAGTACAGCATATCAGGAACTTGGGATTGACTCTGTCATCTAACTTTTCCTAGTACCAAAATGTTAAATCAGTGACGAATCCTTGCTGTAAAGAAGCGGAGTATGCGAAAAAGCTAAAGTGGTAGCGTTCTTCAAGAGTGGCCATTGCTTCAGTCACATATACACTAATTCTTTTCGGTGCACCTAAGAATAAGCCGTCATCTCTCCCGGGCTGCAAGAACGTAACTTTAAAGCAACAAGAAGATCCCTGAAGTAACTTTTGTAGATTCAGTGGCCATCCCTTAAATGATCTGGAGTTATAAGTAGCTGAATCAGGCACACATATGCGAAATACTAGCCTCAACTATCTAGTCCACCCATGTCACGAATATCTCGCTCAATGCTAGCGCCAGATCAATGTTCGTAAACATCTCTTGCTGGACGGAGCTTTGCCAGAAAACTATTGCGTCAGCGACAAACCGTATCCTCAGGAACTCTGATGCAATGAAGCAATAAATATTTGACTCTGCTCAAAGTAATCAAGTTCACTTACGATGTAGCCCTTTTGCTGTGTTGCAGGTGCAGACAGATCCTTATCGTAGCCATGTCTTACCGTCGTTTATTATTACGTAATTCAATGATGAAAACTTTTTGTTTTGACGTCGCTTAAGCAATAAACTTTCAACGTAGTGGCACGCATTTTCCGAGAGTTTGAATCTTGTAACGAAGAGAACCACGCAATACTAATTACGCAATTTTCTTCTTGCCGGTTGATTCTTCTGTTTGTCTGTTTCAACGTGGCTATTTCCAGGATGACAGTTTTCCTACAGAGTGCTTAAATGCGACGACGCTGCATCAGTGGCACTTAGCGGTATAGTTCCAGTTATTACAAGTGTTTCGGCAAATACGCACCGTGAGAACATCGAATTAATACCGAAAAAGATTAACTACAACTGAACTATGAAAAAATCAACTGGCGCTATTCGGTGGATCTGTTTGTGCAGCGTGTGTTGAGGCAACAGACAGTGAGACCATCTGCAACAGATATTTCAATCGTGCCAAAATGATTAATAGCATCAGAAAAGATTACTGAATTGGGAATATGTAGATCATTTCAGTGTATGGAACAATCACACTCCTGTACGAACCTTTGTTGCAGAAAAACAATTATGTAATACAGTTTAGCTGTACTTGCAAACTTTATCTACAATATCTCTAGGAAAATTTCGAGTGCGGCTGTTGTTCGTTATATTTGAGTCGTAAGAATGATTCGATCAGTTTTATAAATAGTGATACATTTTTGTATAAACTTTTATAATGATTATAGTTTTTCTGGTCTTTTCGGTTGTAATTGTCTCGGTATTTTAATATAATTCGCCT